TCTAAATTTGTGGGCTATTACATGAACATTATGTTATGCTGCCAGGGTATGTATTAGAGGCACTGCATTACATTATCAGCATTATTGCTATTGAGTTGAGCTTTGTCGTCATTTGATATTCAGTAAGATCTTTAAATTATCTTTTGAAATAAATATAACTATGATAGCTTAAACCTTAAAGTAATAAATGTAAAGTCAAAAGTCTTTAACTCGTCGGGACTTTGGCGATTCCGGATTAGGGGTTTTCCCAGATTATAGATCATCAGTTTAAATCTGGTAAGATGGCATGCAGAAAATATAAAATTTAAAATATGAAACCGTAATTCTTGAAATAAAGAGCAATTATGATCTAAAGCGTATCAAAATTTACAAAAAAAAAAAAGCTTAATATTTATTTGCTTACTTTATTAAAAATTTCTTTAAATGCACACATGTGTAAAGCATACATTACGCATAGTCGAAATTAGAAACTATTTGATTGAAAGAAAACTATTTGATTTGTATTCGTGATATTTATATTGACGAGGAATTTGATTTAAATCATATCAAAGACGGAGTACATCAAGATGAAATACTACATTTAGTAGGGAATTATAAGCCGAATAAAATAAAAACATCTGCCCTGAAGGTAACGATAGTGCTGACAGATCAACTTCCAGTTCAATGCGTGCGCCATGATGTCCCCCCCTTCCCCGCAGAGCAGCGTGAAATTGATAAACATATTTCGGAACGGTTGATAAACAAAGGATTGCCTTTATCCATTTTTGTAGCAATTCCACTTTTTGTTTGATGGACATCGAAACATACTTTCGTTTTCTAGATCCTTTGGGAGCTCCAGCATCGGAAATTCTATTTGACATAATCGAAAGTTCAAGCTTACTTTTATAAAATTGCTCTTACAGTCTGCAAAAAATAATAAGCCGGGTTCAGTTAGAAGATTAAGGAACAACGCAATCTGCAACATTAACTGAAATAGATAATTAGATAATTTTAGCTTAGCTTATACCGTCCATTATACATTAAATGCGCATGCGTAAACGCATTATGCGTATGCACAGAAAGCTTTGTAGCGTTGAGGTCCGGATTATGAATGTCTGTACTTTTTAATAATTTAATCTTGTTTTATTTTTAAGAATATACTTAATTGATATAATGTATATTATAATTAATTTTAAAATGTTTTAAAATGCCATGTAATATACATCTAGTACAGAAACTTTTGCTAACTGATTTTTTCAATTATGGAAGCTAGATAAAAATTGGTTTATCCATTTAATTATTCCTTGGCCTAAAGTGCTGAAACTATTTTCATGAAATTCTCTTTCTTATTTTAAAAAACTGCAGCTATAGCACATGTCATGTGTAGAACTAGTAATTCTTCAGCATGTAGCAAAATATGAAAATTATATGAACAAATATAATTTTACAATTTGAAAACATGTTCAAAGCTGCCCTTCCCCAAAAGGTGAACGTATGAAAATCTTTGACAAGACATATGCTTATAGAAATATCTGTTGCTATGGTAAAGGAAAAAGCTAAAAGTCCTTATGACATTTTCTTAGTGACTGTGTTTCTTCACATTTTCTAATTTATCAATTCCATTAAAAATGTTATTGATTTTACCTTATGGTGAGGTGGATATTAAACAATTATTTTCAAATCAAAATTAATTCAGTATACTTAAATAAAAAGGGAGTCATCCCTATCATATAAACAAATTGCAATAACATATGATGAACAAAGGAAAATTTTGTATAGACCAAATTAAATATTTTTCAAAAACTACTCTTATAAATCTAAGTTTAGAAAATGAAAATTTCATCATTTTGTCTCAAATAAAGGTTTCCTTTCATTTAAAAAAAAAAAAATCTTTTATAACTAGCCGAAAAAGTGCACGTTAATAGGTCTCATGAAAGGTGCTATTTTAGAATTCATAGTTAGATGTCAAAATTTCTAATCTTGGCCCTGAATGTAGTGGAGTAAAGTAAATTTTTCACATAATTAAATGTGTATCACACAATTTGCTAGAAAACTGCATCCATCAGGCACATCTTAATATAGTTTTGTTTATTTTGCTATCTCATCATTGTGATTTTTGTTAGAATTAATGAGAAATTATGCTATTTTGGGGGGGGGAGATAGCACATAGATGTTTCCCAACATGCCACATATATTTCATTAACCGTGTAATTTCTGAGGACCTATAGCTGCTACAGTTACCTGTCTAACAGCTCAAATTTATTTTTGTGGCTTAATCCATCTTGGATGGCCACATCTCACAGTTACATAAGCAGACTTCCTTTCAGTTCTGTAAAGAGTTAAGGAAAGTGCTTTTCATAACTCATTATGAACATTTTTGAGGTTGCAGAGAAGAATATTAAGTGATCGTGGTGCAGGACTGTGCATAGTTACCAAAGATATGTATCTTTTTAATATTTTCTGTTGAAAAACAAATTTAAGTCTCATTTGTAATTGTCCATTTTTTATAGACTAAGAAGGAAAATATTGACCAGCTGAATTTTTTTCAGTGTAAAATATATAGCTGTTTTTTTCTATAGTAATTAAGTTGAATAAATAGTTAGAAGAAATTAAAAATCATGTTTTAGTCTGGAATAATTTAGAAATTATTCTTATGATTTAAAAGGCAAAATACTATACACAATAAGTTAATTACACTGCATTTTCTTTTTACAGGATTTCAGAGTTACACAGTACAAAATAATAACAAAACTAAACAAAAACTGCTCATTACTGTTTTATAGGATCTCACCAGCCTCAAAGAAAGTATGACGATGAGAAAGGAAGTCCAATAACAGCAGATTTAATCCTTGAAGGCTTGCTTGACTTGGAAACAATTTTACAACACAAGATTATTACTTAGAATGAGCTTTACCATTTCAACATGATTTGACTGTTTCCATGGCTCATTACCAGGACCTATACAAGGAACTAACACATATACACCCCCCCCCAAAAAAAAAGTCACTGCCATCAATATTTTTTTTTTTTTTAAATCCAGTAAACCCAAAAATGTAAAACAAAATATTACACGGCCTGTGCATATCTCAAATGATGAAAGCAATGTCATTTAAAAAGATACAATAAATAATAACAAATTTTATTTTTTGATATCAGGAATTGTTTTTTACACAATCCCATCCACCATTAGAATGTATCTGCCATGTAAATGATATAGAATAGCTGTACATCCACACACGAAAAAATTTCCGTGTACTTTAAATGAATGGAAAGGAGATCTCATTTCTAAATGAAGCCGCCTTCTGATTTTAAATTTTATTCCACTTATTAACTTCATGCATAAAATATGCAACTTCCATTTTCTGTAATAATTTACAACTTATGATTTACCGGTCACTAAAATAATATATAGAGAGCAATAAAAAATTATTCAAAATAAAATTAATTGTAAATTAAATAATGTGTAAGAGCCATATGTCAGAAATGATTCTAAAATATTAAATTCTCAGAGATTTGAGTAATGAATTTGAACTATCTTTGCTTTTTACAATAAAAGCAACCAATAATTCCTGATGGTATGGAGTGAACATGTCAAATATTGTTTCTTAGGAAGTTGGAAGTACCATTTCTATTAAGACCCATTCCTGTAAGTATTTTCATAAAGATATTTGTCATTCTCTCCAACAAGCACCAATAGTTTGATAAAATTCAGTAACTGGTGTATGTAACACACACTGAATCTATAAAGTATTAGGCATATTACTACCTCTATTTTATTTGCTAATTAATAGGCCAACAGCAAAATTTCAAATGAACATATCATATTATCAATTATTAATATTATTACTTTGAAAATTATTAATGTTGTTTTGTCAAGCTGGTAGAAACATTTTAGAGATCTTAGTCTTTACATCTTGTTTCCCCCCCCCTTTTAGTATTGTATTTCTCTGTACCTTTATATCTAGTTGTAATGAACGTTTTCCCACCAAAATGTATTATTAATAAAGTTTAAAAAAAAAGTGAAAGCACTACTTTAAGTGCAGGTAGTAATCACCACCCAATCCAGATAATCTTTGAGGATAATACCACAGCAATCCCACTAGGTACAAAGCATGATCATTTTGTTAGTCAAATTGTGCTTTCCAATGCTGCGAACAGCCTTGCCGGGAATAGACCAACCCCCTTTTTGGCCTGTGTTGTTGAAGTAAATCTCCTTTTTATCACAAGTGACGATCCAGTCCAGAATTTTGGCCTTGCATCGATATTCAAGCAGATTAGTGCAGGCCTGAACACGTCTGTCCTTATCTGCTTGAGACAGCTTATATGGCACCCAGGGATTGAACTTGTACGTCAAGTTTACACCATGCATAGCATGACTAATGGACATGGTACTAACGTCTAACTCCTTAGCAAACTCTTAATTGGTTACATACAAGTTCTCACAGGCAGACCTCATCGACATCAGTAGGCGAGCCAGAGCACTCTGCTACTTGAGTGCCATACGTTTGTTTTTGAACTTTTGGTACCAAACCTTCACATTATCATATGATGCAACATTAGTACCTAAATATGTACACATGATTTGGTGACATTCTGTAGCTGACTTTTTGTAACAGAACTGGAAGTAAATGATGGTTCTAATCTGGAAGCATGGTAGTCCCATTTCAGACACCTTGTATTTAATAATATTTTTTTAACAAATTTCACAACACAGTATTCCAAAGCGAGTCTTTTTCTTTCAAATGTCAAAAATCATTTAACAAAATATGATTAAACACACCAACGCAAACTGTTTACGCAGACAATATTTGCGGTGGTAGGAAACTTTCATTAAAATCTGATATAAACCTTTATAAAGCAAAGCTTTTTGATTTAATTCTTTGGCTGTCAATTTAATTTCTTAATGTTTTAGCTTGGTGAATATGTTACTGTTTGCATGTAACAAAAATAATCACTATACATGTGTACGTGTGTGCATGCACTCTTTATGTATATGCATAAATTTTTCTTTTAACTTTCAGATTAAATTTACAATTAATCAGCTTGCTGTGTCTGGTTTGAAAGTTAATCGTCTAGATATGTATGGAGAGGTAAGAATTTTCATAAATTTAATATTTCTTTGAGTTTTGAATATTGTAATGTATTTTGCAGTAATTTACAAAACA